TTAATGTATGTGAAACGTAATATTATAATGAAGTACATTACGTGTACATATTTGAATAAGTTGTGAGTTGGCAGTGAGCAGGCCGCGTAACGGTGTCTAGTATCGAAGTCGTCGGCGAGGGTCATCGGCGCGTGGCGACAATTAAAACCGGGATAAGTGTTGCGTGTACCTGCGAGATGAGGGCGCCACGGTCGATACGAGGGGGGGCCACCCGCGGGGAGGGCCCATTCGGTTAAGGAGTTTAGAATACAAGTCACGGAGTATTGATGTCTCCCGTGTTATTTTTATTACGTAAAGGACAACTATGAAAAAGACTCCCAGCTCCCCCATAATCATCACCTGAGTGTATTCGTGGCGGTACATTGGAAGGTGCATGACGCTTTAATGATGTATTGTCTATGTGCAGGTATTACTTGTCTAGTCAGGGTTATTACAGTTTTATTTAATTGGCTCACGAATAATGCCTTTCTCGCAGAACATTTTTAAACAGAGTACGCGCGGGTTTCGTCGGTATAAATATATTTTAAATAGTGTATAGAATTATAGATTTCCATTACGATGCGTAGAAAATAAGCATCTTTTCAGCAATTTCAACATCTGCGTCACAAGACGTGTGGGTGTTGAGGCGGCAGACAGAGTGTGCGGGGGTGGGGCGGGGTGCGGGTGAGCCAACTCTTCATTCCCATTTAGCTACTGAATTGTACAGCGGGAGGAGGCCATGATTATGTTTACTAACCCCGGCCGCCCGCGCCCCCGGTCTACGCGGTCCGAATTAACACACGATCTTTGTCCCAAAACTCGGTCTTTACATAGCCACCCTGCCGATCGGTGTTGCTATGTGCGAAATTGCGAACGGCGGATATGTAAGCATTGGTGTTTATCCGTTCGATTGTTCGAGAACCAAATACAGTATTAAATGCATACGATTTCGTAATACTGGCACATAAAGTTATAGTTTAAAGTAAAGTAGTTGATTGATTATCATTTTTTTCTTTAGATTGTAGTATGTAATTTAGTACATATAACCCGCCTCACAGACTGTTAGTTGTCTCTCTTTATAGTTGCGAGTCTCTCTTACCACACCAACAAGATAAATTCAACAAGCTTTCTTATTGGTGAAATTCGCACAGCTGACTCCCATTTATAACATAGGCACCAATAATTATAGGAAACCCCCAATATATCATAAGAAATGAGAAAGCATGCAGCAAAATAAAAACGACAAACCAAGGCGTGTGCTCACAATGCGGCACAAAGGCGATATGTTAACCACAGCATTATCACGACTGATTCACAAGTGGTATTATATGAAAGAAACAAAAAACTTTAATGCTGTAACATGATAACATTATTTCCATCGATATAAACACATCTCATTGATGGTAGCAAGCTATTCGTGTTAATTAGAGCATGATATTAGAGTTTGATTGCCACATTATGGTACGGCGCAAAATTAAACCAATGTGCAGAGGAAAATAAGTGAAAAGGTTCGTTATTTTTTTATACCATCATATTAAATTTCGTCAATAAACTATATCGCATGCACACATTCAGTAAGCTATATTGTGACGGAAAGTACAATATAAATTGTCGCTACCCTTTCTATTCCTGCGGGTGTTTTAAGATTAAGAAATTACCAAATAGACGAAGCCGTCCGTAACGCTTTTTCGCAAACCGTAATATTTCAAATTGCGATATAGTTTATAGCAATAATGTCAAGCTGTTATGAAGGAAGGATACTTAGTAGTCAAGCAGTGGACGAGTCACGGGCCGTTTGTGAAGATGACATTTAGAATACGAGCGAGAAAAATTACTCTTACCCTTGTACCCAATCGAGTAGAAAATAAGTAGAAGGTACTATTGATACAGTATAACCATCAAGCAGTGATTCCTCCAACAAAACACTTGCAGAAAAAGATTCGTTTATTTATGTTATAACTATGTTCAATGAGATAGCGGCATGTGTTTCGAACAGGGTTGGGCTAATTCCTTCAATTGATGTAAATCAGCTAACATAATAACTACACACAAACAGTAATATGAGTATAAATCGAAGAGATCAGGAAGGACATATCTAAATCCTTAATAACGTCAATGAAGCTAAAGTCATCGGTACGTTTAAAAAAATAAGCGTTACTTTATTAGAACGTGGGATCGTTAGCTAAATATAGGTCTGAATACTTCACAACATTCAGGGTATCCAAATGTTTTAGAGTGTCGCGGTGACATACCACACGTGCTGTAGGGTCATTACCACCGAACTAGGACCGCCACTTTAAAGCTTAGCTCTCCCCAAAGCTTTATTATCCTTCAATACATCGTCTTACGATTCTCTCTTGATTCTACAATCGCGATAAGGCAGAACTGGACCAATTTAAATGAATGGTATGAGCAAGTCTTCTTTTATTGTCGCGTAAGGGCACATATAAAAACAAGCTTTTGGACAAGGAGAAATGTAAAGCACTATGCCTACCGTGACTCTACTCGCCCTTCCATGTGTTGATCTACATTGGTACAAAAAAATACTATATTGAGGGGAGGAATCTCCCAGTACTATGCCAGTGATGTTTTAGTTCTGTTAATATGAATAGACAGATCTCAACTATCACTACAAGAATTTCAAAATCATATTGCCTGCATTATTTTCGAAAGGAAGTAATGAAACAACGGTGCCTCGTATTAGTGTGTTTCTAGATCGGATGTCCTTGTAGCAAGTTGTCATACTACGAACTTAATTTTTAATATCAGACACTTTGGTGGTCAGAAATTTTGGTGGTCTACATTAAAATAGTTTAGAATGTATAATACCTACTATTGGCGTTAGGTATAACAAAAACCATATAGCGCGGATAGCGTCTACAAACTGGTAGTCATGCATTTCTAAGGAGTACAGGGACGTGTAACAAAGTCGAGACGAAGTCGGTGAGATAGATGAATGTTTAAAGTGCTAAGTAGAATTGATATGTCGTCAATAATGACTAGAGATTATCGGAAACTTCACTGTAAATCCTGGTTTATTAGCATTTTATAATAAAATTGCTAGTCATCCGTATTTACATATGCTTAAATTGTTACATATAAATTACATTTAAAACTGTGATGTAATTGGTATTTAAAAAATGATGCCTGCTAAACTGATCTCGTAGAACGAGACATTAAAATATTCCCTAATATACGGATAGCGTCTACAAACTGGTAGTCATGCATTTCTAAGGAGTACAGGGACGTGTAACAAAGTCGAGACGAAGTCGGTGAGATAGATGAATGTTTAAAGTGCTAAGTAGAATTGATATGTCGTCAATAATGACTAGAGATTATCGGAAACTTCACTGTAAATCCTGGTTTATTAGCATTTTATAATAAAATTGCTAGTCATCCGTATTTACATATGCTTAAATTGTTACATATAAATTACATTTAAAACTGTGATGTAATTGGTATTTAAAAAATGATGCCTGCTAAACTGATCTCGTAGAACGAGACATTAAAATATTAGGGAATGGAAGCTATTCAGTGGATTCTTTGACCACAAATATATGTATAAGTAAACTCGCTTACTGTATATGTGGGGAGAGGTCGAAGGGGAGTATCGTCGAAGGACACACATTGTCCATATTCGACTACTGCGCATTTTGCTTTCAAATTAGGTCAAAGCGTGACGAACAAGAGGTTTACCTATGTCAGGACACCAATGGCTATAAGAGCTAAATTTTATCGTTCAATTAATCAATATTTATGGTTATAAATTAAAGATGTTGTCCAAGGACTTCGAGCGCGAGTTACTTCGCGTATCGAGGCAACCAGCCGATCGCGTGAGCCCTGTTGTTGTTCATGATATTGGTATGGTGAGACGGTGGATCGATTTGAGTGAGTTTACGAGCTCGATCATTATCTCTATCAACATTTCGGTAACGGCTGTGAACGGTTAAATCGTAGACTGGTTTTGACTACTCGACTCCGAATTTTTTCAAGACCCCTTTGTAAGAATTGAAAACAAGTTTATTTAATGACTTTAATTATTGGCTATCGTTTAAGAGCAGTACCAACATTACATTGCTTTGCAATACTTTAAATGAAACTATCGGTACGGTACGACAGAGTTTGAGTTATGTTACCTACAAGTCTAAAGTATGAAATCTAAACAAAAGTTAGTTTTTATACAGTTATCCATTACGTGTATTTGAATGCGTAATAATTAAATATTACTATTAAAGAAAGATAAAAGGCAACCTCCAGACACTTCCATCTGAGAACATCGGACGGATATTGAGATTGCCGTTTACTACAATTACGTTCACAGCAATTTTACATAAAATGCCGATATCAAATTGTTTTTTAGCAATTCGACATCTTGCGTGTACGTTAGATACGGCAGCACGCAGTAAAATTGTTGAGATTTTGGACTGCCTTCGAGTGCCGACACCCGCTGAGTAATCCTTTATACAACTCCGATAATATAGGATACTTTATAAATCTATTAATAGAAAAGAATCAAACACGCGTTAATCCGCATGGGTCCACGTGACGCAGACGCCAATGCAGAATATTATTAACGTACAAGTACTGAAGTACCTACAAATACAACTACTGCTGTATTCGTCTGTCAATGTGCGTGACTGGTCTGTTCCGAAAATCAATATCAAAACAATGTCTTATTATAAAGTTGGACTTCAAGGATAAAGTAGTTACAAGGAGTAACCTTGTGTACAAATTTGTACATATGGGGAGATTTTGAGCAATACGATTGATTTTGGTTGATATCTAACTGTACCTATTATTTGATTACACATTATCGAGAATCCCAGACCTATACAATGTAGTGTGTTGTATCGAGAATAAGCAATCTCTAAAGTAACATTTCAAAACGAGTACACGGAGTTGTATTAAAATTAATTAAGGATAATAAAAAAAATGTTTTTGTATTTTGTAACATGCGAATTCTCACATCACATCGGAGTGCACTGGCACTTACTGTGTGTATAAATTAGCAGGATACTTACTTTGATGCTTATCAGCTAACTGTATAAGAGGATTTGGAAGGTCTCGCCGCCTGTAGAAGCACATGACTTTTGCTTCCACGTTCCCAGACGGCGTCTTGTTCAGCTCTTCTATCCGTCGGATCTGGTACGGAGACGTCGACGACGTCTCGAAATAGACGCAGTCTGCAGACAAACATAATAGAAATTGGTTAAATTGGACTTAACCCATTACCTGCAAGAGTTTATTGTAAACAATGTAATTCCTATTCGTAAAGTTTATTTACAAAAGGCTGTAGTCAGATTTAGTTTATGTTAAGCTAAATGCAGGAGCAAGAAATTAAATTCTGACTTAGGATACAACGCTTTACTACTTATTTACAATAAGTTCATGAAAATTGATTTTACAAAATTATCGACAAACATTGGAACATTATTGCATTTTTGATACTTCGGTTTATTTTTTATCATATTTTTTAGTAGAGCACAATTGGTAACTCTAGGTGTAGAGTAGCTGGTGCGGAACGAATAGTTTCTGTTTATCCGTACTGCAATACTTATATGTTAGTTGTGCCACATGGACAACTAATGTAAATGGCGCCTTTTTACCGTTACTTCGTACAGTACAACTAAATAACACGCGCACATAATGACACGCTTGAAGCTTTTCATTCTGAGCCGTATGCGCGTCAGTTTTGGACGATTAACCTCCTGACGATACTATTGTTGTTGTAAGGTGGATGTAAGCATAACGTGGACCTATCGTCACATGTTAAATCATCACAACTGTCGGAATTATGGATTAATCAGAGATGTTTCTTGGAGTTTTGGATTGAGAGCCTGTTTAACTACCTTTATAAGTTCCCGATATACTTATGTGTGAAATAGTATATTCAAATAACGATCTACGTCCAAATGTATCCGGTAGACAGTGACTGATCAGACACTGTAAAACGTCTTGAAAATTTATTAAAATTTTCTGTAAGAGAAAGGAGCCCTTTTTTCATAACTTAGATTTGAGCCACAACTGGCTTAGGTCCCAAGTTTAACTTCTAGGTTTAGTGCATACCTATTCAACCTCGGTGCACCTAAACAAAAATATAAAAATAATCAAAAGTGAAACGCGCTCCTGGTTTGATGTAGCTACCTAGCTAAACAACATCTAATGAAATTGTATATGCAACAGTTATGGGAAAAGTCCTGACAAAGATAACTGTGTCCATTACCAAAATTAATTATTATTTATTAATTTTTACTATACTTAGATGGGTTTTCTTGGGAACATCAGTCGTAAGTATAATCTAAATCAGTGTTGCTAATAATTACCAGAAAATAGAATACTAGTTGATCTCATATTTCCTATGAAACTTTCCATTCTGGTACGATCGCGAGGTGAACTAAAATTAACTTACGATGAGACGTGAATTCACGTGTAATAGATACGAAAGAACGCTTTATTTTTTCATGTATTAACATCACTATTGTGATGCGGTACTTCCTGTTAGAGCACTGTGGCACTTAAATGTATTGATAGTACTTTGACAATATGGTCTAGTTGAGGTTACGCTTCATCGTCCATGAAAGAGTCTCTCACTTTATGCTGCTCGGCATCTCATAAAATATACACAGGGAAAAGCATTTTAAGACAATCGATTTTAAACCATTCAATATACAGTAAAACGTGATTTATAGAAAACTGATCCCTGCGCAAAGAACGCCTCGTGTGAAATGTATGACTGTAGATTCGAACTCTGGCGTTTGTAAGAAAGCACATCAAGAGTTTATGTTCCAATAGGTGTGCAGTAGCTATAGATATACGTAGAAGAGTGGTTATCTACACAGATATTATATATAGCCGGCCAATACATACGAGTATTATGGGTGTGCCTTCATATTAGCTATAGTTATGTATATGCGTAAGTTGGGGCATTATGCGGCTGATAGCGATGTTAACGCCCGTTCAGTTTTGCCAAGAAGTGTATTTTTGGAACGTGTCAATAAGTAAGCGTATAGTAAATTTAGCCTGGACACGTCATCACAAGAGGGCAGAGAATGATTGAATTCTCACTGTACGATTTCGCGAGGCGACGTTTTACTTGTTTCTTTTGTTGTTAATTACCATAACTGGCCTCAGGGTCACCTGTCGCGATTCACATGTACACTTCTCCAGTATTATAAAAATGTGTATGTATAATGAGCGATTCAACCTATACGTCGCTCATCGTAGCTAATTACTATTAGTTATGTACGCTGACTTGATAGCATATTTGACAAATAACATATCATAATAATTACCAATGTGATTTTTCGATTATTCTCTCACACTTGTTACCTTCAACTATGGGTCACTCTATTTACACTTTTTGTCCATGGTTTGTGTTGTTCAAGACGAAGCGTGATAATATATTTCCTTCAAAAAATTGTATGTATAGGTTTAATGAGTAGTTTCTTTTAATACATTACGTATTGAAAAACTGTTTAAACAGGAACTCCTTTAGTTTTGCAATAAAATTAAAATACGATTTAATAAACTGACAATACAGATATTTAAAAATAAGCAGGTGTGCAAACAATAGGAACATCAAATTTAATGATGATAATATCAACTTATTTTTTAATAGATTGTTATCCATATTAAATCAATGTATAATAATCAGCAAAACTTGATTGTTTGTGTGAAAGTATAGTGATTTTTAATAGAATTAAAGTTAGAAAACCAAGATTTTTAAGCATGCTAAACGTAAAAATATAAAACTAGCTGGCAGCGGTTGCTAAGGGGAAAGATCAAGTGGTGTGCTAATGAGAGACGTATTAGCCGAAATTAGTGCAGTTGCTATCAAAAATATATGAAGATTAATCCATCTTAGATAATATTCCAACAAAATATATATACCTTTATTTGGAATCAATCAAAATATTATTGAGTGGAAACAACAAAAAAAAAGTTTAACTGTGTTTTTAGTATTAGTAACATTTCCAGGACTGGCGGTGCAAAGTACGTAGGACAGACAGCTTCGCTTTTTTCTAAACGCAAGAAAGGCATACGAACAAGCTGATCGGTGGTGACGGTGTGGTATGCAGTAGGCTTACTGACATTTAGCACCAGAAAAGTTGCCAGAATGCGAATGAAACGATATAGGGGATTTGGGGACAGGAGATGTGGGAAGAGGGAATGATTAGTCCTCTGGTAAAATCACTCACACCAAAATAACGTGGTACTACTGCGGTCAAGCTGGCTCATACAAGCCGAAGCGTCGCACACTAAACTACATTGTAATTTTTTGTGTTCTACTTTAAAATAGTCGATCTCTTTACAAAGTCCAGTAACAGAAAAGGGAGGTTCACAATTTATCATAGGAGGAATATGTTTAAATTATATTTGTGTCATAAGGGGTGCGTTGAGCGTGAGAGGAAAACTCGATGGTACAATTCACATGAAGTGCGTTGCAAGGTGCACATGTCTAATCGCCAGTTTTATCCGAAAATTATAACACTATCCTCAATTATTAGGTATATCGATCCACATTTATTATTAATAAAAAGTACACTCAATTTCATTCCCGAAGATGTTTTGGTGCTTTTACTATTGAATGACACGCGTTGCAGAGCTGGCAAGCCAAACCAAGTTTTTTTTTAAATGGCGGGCCCTTTATTTCGAATTCGGTTTCAGTAGTAAACTAAAAATGATAAACGCATGAATTGCTATGAAATTCAACTATAAATGCTTATTATAAGTTTCTCTAGATCTTAATAGAGATGTTGTCTATGTAGTTTTAGTTGATAGAGGATTCTAAATTCTAATATGCCTTGCTTTGAAACATCATTGGCAAGAGACGTTATCTTTAAAAATATCGAGTTTCGAAGTGTATGTATGACACGCATGACAATGTATATGTGAACATTTATATAGTTTAAGGAAGTACAAAAAGAAACATTGTCGCTAATTTTCGGGATAAAAGGTCACGAGGTTTAGATTTAAACAGATTTCGAATATCTGTACTTACAATTGTTATGAGTTTGTGCTTTTCAACGGCTAAGTTTGGTTTTCTTAGGAAAAAATGCACTAGATTTTTAAGATGTTCATTGAAAAACTTGGTGGTTCGTATTCAATCCTTTTAACTCAGCAAAAGTTGTAAGTGGGGATTAATGGATGGATATGGATATTTGTTCGTTTGTTAATCTTTAACGTTAAAAGTCCTAAACGAATTTGAATGAAATTTGGCATATAGATAGATAGTCTGGAATTACAAATACGCTACTTTGTACTCTGGTAGTTTCTGAAGGTGAAGCCGCTAACAGAAGGTCGTACACTGTAAGTTAGTACGTTTAGAGGATTAAATAAATGGTAATACTATCTTTAAGTTTAATCTTAAATATGTCTGTGTGTAAAATAAAACCCTAGAAAGCGTGGTCCAACGAATCGAACTATGTGTCCAATAAGTAAAATTAATTTGGCAATGCATTGCATGTACGCTATCTTGTCATGTAGATCTGCATACTTTACTACGCTCGTTTGGCAATGGTGAACCGCGTTGTGTTTGTCTGTCGGTGATTCCGTGGTCGTTTGTGTACGCAACAAAGCGTCGGTTCACTCAATGAACGTTTTCACAGACCGACCCAACACGTGGTAAAATCGAACTGCATGAATTATTTTATTTACAATATAGTTTATTCCAACTTAAAAGGGGATCCTTTTACAAATACTTTACTTTTTGTACCATAGTGGTTATTTTTGTGAATAACAAAGAAGCCAAACGTGGCATTTAGCTCTAAATTGGGTATTCATATATAATCATATGGATAAGTGTGAGAGAGCCATGCTTTGGCACGATTGAGTCGGCTAGACCGGAATGATGCCACGGTCTCGGAAATCACAATCATAGCGTTATGTTTCGCTGTGTGAGTGAGGTTACAGGAGGTCCAATCATTCCCTAATCTCTAAATATCCGAAACCCCCAAAAGCCCGGCAACTAGTGTTATGGGCATTTGCCGATTGCTTTCCATCAGGTTAACCATTCCATTAGACGGCTGGTTTGCCGTCCTATAACATAAATTATTCATATTTTACAAAAAAAAAAAAAAAAAATGCAATTTAAGTTTACGACTCAAAAACACTTATTCTGGCGTGTTTCAAATTATTAAATAATTACTACTCTCATGTCAAAGATTTGCTATCTAGACCCACCTAGATTGCAAATCTTACGAAAAATAGGGGTAAAGGTTTCTAAAACTCTTGTATCTTGCATAGTTACTTAAAATTAAACATTTGTAACGGTGAAATTTATTACATTTCGTCAAATAATAACAATATTTTAAACCGAGCAAATTGATAATACATGAAATTTAAGATAGCGATGAGATTTTCGTAGCTTAGTCAATATTTATTTGATTGATGTTAACGAATTACAAAGATTTTCTACGTTATTAAATTTCATAGTGAAGTATTGAGTAATTTAAGAAGGCCGTAGACTAACAATTGGCAATGAATTTAATACAATTATACCAGCTAATAGTGTAGGCAATTGAGAGGAAATGCACGTTTATGATTTCGCTCGACGTAATCATTGAATTGTTATGACCATATTGTTGTAAAGACGTTCCTTTCTGGAAGGACCAACACAATTGGGATCGTTGTTGATGATTGTTGGTTCCTATTACGCAATCGACTCAATTCAGAATATATGCTAAACTCTTATATGCAAAATTTAAAATCTCGGAATTAATATTTTTAATAAGAATCGCGAAAAAAGAATAGAGGAGCACCATCGATCTGTTAGCAATAAGTTAAACCAGAAGACCAATTTTGTTGGAATTCATATTAGATAATAAAATGTCGCACTTTGTGTTCCTCAGATAAGGCAACGTGATAAGCTAAAGGCGAATTTATAGTGACAGTATTCCTTTCAACAGTAACTGTTTCTATGTAAAACCGGTAACATTTTATAGGAAGCAAACACAATTAGAAAATCTGGACGCTGCCAGCCACAATAACCGTAAAGATGGTTGCGTAACGTAGGCTGAACAAACCGTCGATTAAACTGGAGTTTACGAAATAAGTATCGAGTGGCTGTGACCCTGTCGTTCGCTCAATATCAGTTTTTATTGATAGGGGTTTTATTGTCGAGGGATGTAGGGATCTCGCGACAGTTGCGGGTAATATCTGACACATTCCGTACAATAGGTTTGTTAATTAATATTAATTAGTGAATTTAATGATAAGATCGATTGGTAATAATACGATCACAATATTATAAGTGTTAGTATAAATTAAATATAATAAGTGTGGGAGAGCCATGCTTCGGCACGAATCGGTCGGCTCGACAGGAGTGATACCACGGCCTCACAAAAAAACCGGCGTGAAACAACCACAGCGTTGTTTCGCTGGATGAGTGAGATTACCGGAAGCCCAATCCTTCCCTTCCACCGACCCTTCCTCAATCACTAAAATGTCGGCAACGCACTCGTAACTCCTCCGTTGCGGGTGTCCATGAGTAGTTGGAAAATAGGGCATCCAGATCAGAGATCTGGATACCCTATTTTCCACATTTTAATCTTCTATTCACATATTATTTTAAGATAGCAGGCATGGCAGTAATATTCATAAAAAAGATCATACTTATTGAATATGATAATATGGAATGCTCTCGCTATTATCCATTGCGCTGCCTTATATACCTAGGTACGTAGTGCAGTGGCTATTTATTACATGTATAAGAATGAGTTAGCAATAAAAAAATGATATTTTGAATTATTTTATTTTAAATATACAATTTTTGATATTTTTATAGTTGATATCTATTCATTACTACATAGGTACACTTATAATTATTTACATAAACTTTTTTAGAAAATTAAACATACATAAGTGGTAAACGGTAACGTCTATACATTTTAAATTATTAAATCTATACTCTTGGTTCGATGTCATCCTGAATTTTGGCAATTAATTCTCTCGTACTGGTATATATATCATCGTATAATATAGTTTTCACAACATGTTGAACACACACATCAGCCTCACAATTACACATCGGCTGTTCGGATTTTTGAAAACTGTCTGTATCATAGATTTCTATTTTTATTATTTTCGTTCCACGAGAAACAGGCTTCTTTATAAATTGATAGAATGTCTGATCTGTTTTTGATCTCTTGCGAGCGAGACCCAGCGTCTTCTGTCCAGTGGTTTGTTGGACTGGTTGATTCATGGGTACAAAATTGAAGAGATCCTCCGAGTCCTGAAATAACAATACAATATTAATTTAAGTTACACTACAAACGTTACGATTGAAATAAAGGCTTATGTGGAAATAATTAATGCTGTGATGCTACTTACTACTATTGTTAATATTAATACATTTTTAAATTGTTAGTGAATGTATTAAAGTAACACTTACCGACATTCCGCAATTATATCAGTCTGATTCAGTCTTCACCATCAGATTCAAAGATGAAATGGATTTCAATTTATTATATCCCCCTTTTATATTTTTAAATTTAATTATTTCTTTTAATACATAGAGTTCAATATCGTATATTTTTGTTAGATGTTAATATCTATACAAAAATGGTATGGTGAAATTGAAACCGCAGACATTACGACGCCTAACATTTTATTGTTTATCGAAAATATATATCGACAAAATAATACTACTGTATTTTTGTTCACGGTTATTGTTTTCATACATTTTATTAAAATGATTTGGCAAGCAAAATCATGGTATGTTAATAGTATATCAGCGTTAGCGAATTTGCAACGTAGCTGAATTCTTTTTAAGGAGACGGATCATAACAATTGATCAATATCGACATACAATTATTAAGCCTGGTTTTACCTGCTATTATTATTATAAAGATTAAAAATAAATAGTTTTTTGTTATTAATTTATTTTTTTAATAGCTTAGATGTACCTCTATGCTGGAATAAAACACAAGATTTACTTAATCGATCTGATTATTATTGTAGTAGGTACCTACAATTAGTGAGCATCGACACGTTTTACGTTTTCATACAATTGTTCAACTTCTTCTATATTTCATAAAAACAAATAAGTTATCATAGTAATTGTGAAAAAATTATAAGATAAATACAAGCTTATTTTTACATACCGAAATATGAGATTCTGACTAGTCATATCTCCATTCCTCCACATGTCTAGAAGTTGCATGCGAGCGTGCAAACCGCAGCGTTTGTACCGTCGCCTGACGTCAAAAACATTCAGTAAAAAACAACAATCTTCAAACTTTTTTTCTAAATATGAAATTCCCCTATTGTTTATTTAAGTAAGTATCTATATTCATCATCCGTCTACATTATCTATCTATACATATAATAATCTACACTAATATTATATAGAGGAAAGATTTGTATTTTTGTATGTTTGTAACGAATAAACTCTAAAACTACTTAACCGATTTCGATGAAACTTGGCATACAGATAGACCATAACCCGGAATATGACATAGGATTTTTTATCTCAGTATTAAGTTCCCGTGGGATAATTTAAAACTAACGCGGGCGAAGCCATGGGTAAAAGCCATCTTATATAATAACACTAAGCTTAAAACCTTAACCGCTCAGATTTGTACGCTCGTGTATGCAATTTTTGCAAGTATGCAGTTTTACAAATTTGGATTGAATGATGTGATTTTAGGCCTATAAAAACGCATAGCAAATTAGTCTCCGGTACAATTCCTCTCTGGTACGAATCCTCTCTACAACGGATCAACTCTCCGAGCTCCTGATCAAGCTACCTGTCTAAACACCTATCAAGAATGTAAGTATCTATTCATAATCATTTATCTAACTATTAAATGGTCAGAGCAATGTATTAGTTGATATATTCAAGTATTCGAATGTTGACCGTCAATATTGTGATGCAGGTTCGATTCCTGCACAGATCGAATATGCTACTTTGTGTTGAAAAAAAAAAATGAAAACTAAGTACCAGTTACATAATTATTTTAATTTATTTCAACTATAACACAATGATAATTATGACTGCTTATGAAAGATTGGACAGTCGAGGGTTCCATTCTCGTAACGTTTCAAGTCTAACTGTGACATACATATAGTTAATCTGATCATTATTTCTTATCTCTGTAGCATAGATAGAATATTCTAGTTTGACGTTAAGACTATGTGTCTGTACCTATACCAAGCATTGTATTTGTTGTTCATCGATTTTTATAATTTTTAATATTAGATTTATACATAGAAATATTTAGAGATATAGCGAAACCTAATCAACATAAACACCTATACATATGTAGAAAATAAAATTATCGATTACAGTGCACTAATAATATATTATTTATACACAGGTCGAAGCTACTCGCCAACGATCTCTTTCTCTCCAGCGACGATTCTGAAGCGGAGGTGAAGCCGAAGGGGAAGTCGGAGGACAAGAAAATGAAGAGAGAGCGATCCGGCAAGTCGAGTGAAGGATCTAGTTCGAAAAAGTCCAAACCAACTATCTCCCCAATTTCTCCGCCAGCATGCGTTACGGCCAATGAATTATTCGGTGACGAAGACGATGACAAGAATGAATGTGTTAAGAGCTCTACCAAAACGGGTAATGTCCCACCTATACATTCTTATTTTACGAAAAGGCTGCGGAAGGGCTATTCTCGGCAAATTAGTGAGACGAAAGAAGGAAAATATTACGTCGAGTTAAAAATATATGATGTCGAAGAAATAAAAAAAATTATGCCGATAAATAGATGGCGGCATGCTATTACTACTATAAAAACTAAACTGGATGAAGATAAGGAGTCTTGGCACCATATAAAAGAGTTCATCTTAGCGACCCAAAAAGATTTTAAAAATTGTCCGCTGTCGTACTTAGGATCCTACGAAACTTAACGATTTAACCTATTGTTAATCAATTTATTATTCCTGTACACATTTTTATATTAGGTACATGATGCATAGTTATATCTCTATATACAATATAATAACATTTATCCCAGCATTAGCTTTAATTCATAGGGTAATTCAATGTATTTTTGGTTATTTCATTATATTTTATAATTATTATCATTGTTTTTTTTCTTTGTTTCACAGCTTCTACACACCTCACTAATAAGTCAAGATCTAGAAAAATAAACTGTGACAAATGTAAAATATTAATTCCAGAAAATCAGTATTCCTATCATATGAGAACTAATATACACAAAGCAAACTGTTTATTGAATACCAAGTTCGCAAATATTCATATTATTGCGACAGCATTCAATAACAGAATAATGACATACAGATTGAATGTCACTCAGGAAGACGAGTACCTCGGTCTAGAGGCGTTCCTGAGTGATCACCAAACCAATATAGCAGAATTGATTACTATGTCACTAAATAAACACAACTGCATAAAAGTTAATTTCGAATTGTTTGCATATTTTATGCTACCAACTTTAGAAGAAAAGCAGCTAAAGTCATTTAATACCAAGTACAATATTATTTATAAAAACACTGATTTGAATGAATTATTAACTAAAGTAATGAATGCATTGAACGAGAAATTAACAGAGTTCCAACACTGTCAATCTGGTTGGACGTTTGTTTCTATGAGTCATCTCGAAATTAATATAAATAAGTATTCACCTATGAGGGGTGGATCTTATATAGATTTACCACCAGCTATTAAACATTCTAGAAGTTGCATTAATATAAAAAATGAAGATGATTGTTGTTTTCTATGGAGTATAGTTGCTGGATTATATCCAGCGAAAAATAACGTGTGCAGAACAAGTTCATATCCTCATTATTCTTCGGTTTTAAATATAGAAGGAATGTCATTCCCACCCACAATGAATGATATTAAACAGTTTGAGAAAAACAATCCAAATATGAGTGTAAATATATATGGTTTGCAAAATAATATTGTAACTGGACCTCTTTATGTATCGAAGCATAAGAGAGAACATCATTTTAATTTACTATATATTGAAAACAATACTGTTGGACACTATTGTTTAATTAAAGATCTTATACGTCTTGTACGACGTCAAGTAACTCATTATAAAGGTAAAGTTTATTTATGTGATGCATGTTTACAATTTTTCAGTAGCGAAACAAGATACAAGTCTCATAACTGTTCTAAGATATTGTCTATTTTGCCTGAAAAAAAAATCTATATTGAAATTTAAACATTTTGAGAGGCAGCAGAAAATTAATTTCATCATTTATGCTGACTTCGAATGTATGTTAATTGACTGTAATGAAAGTAACTCTTTAAACACTCGGAAACTAAAGACACATCAACCTTCATGTTTTGCTTATTATATCTGTTGTGCACATAATAATGAATTAAATAAGTATGTCTCATACAGAGGTACAGATTGTGCGGAAGTATTTGTTAAATATTTAATAAGAGACGCTAAACGTATACATAGAATTTTAAGTAATAAAAAGTCTATGACTCCGTTAACAACTGAGCAAGAGATGAATTATCAGAACTCGAATACATGTCACATATGTAAACAACTATTGCTTAATGACAAAGTCCGAGATCATGATCATATTACCTCAGAGTACCGTGGGGCAGCGCACTCCCATTGTAATTTGATGTATAGAGTTTGTTCATTCATTCCTGTCGTCTTTCATAATTTGTCTGGATATGACTCACATTTATTCATTCAAGAGTTAGCAAAGTATGAAGGTACTATTAACATAATACCGAAAACTAAAGAAAAATACCTCTCAATAACGAAAGTAATAAAGACAGAAAAATATAATCATCCTATTCAGATAAAATTTATTGATTCTTTTCAATTTCTTAGTTCTAGCTTAGATGCATTGAGTGATAGTTTATCAGAAAACGATTTTTTAAACTTATCAAGAGAGTTTAGCGATAAAAGAAAATTTGATCTAATGAGAAAAAAGGGTGTTTATCCTTATGATTATATCGATTCTTGGTCCAAATTTGATGAGACGCAACTTCCATCAAAGTATCATTTCTATAACAGTTTGTGTAAGAAGCATATAACTGATGAAGAATATTTACACGCTCAAACAGTTTGGAATGTTTTTAACGTTAAATCTCTTGGTGAATATACAGATTTATACATAAAATGTGATGTGCTTTTACTATGTGACATATTCGAAAAATTTAGAGAAACAAGCTTACAGTACTATAAGTTAGATCCAGCTTATTATGTTACTTCACCGAGCTTAAGCTGGGATGCAATGCTTCTATATACTGACACTGAACTGGAGTTAATAAGTGACTTGCAAATGTATGAGTTATTAGAAAAAGGAATTCGCGGTGGGCTGGCACAGTGTTCTCGACGTCATGCTGAAGCAAATAATAAATACTTACCACATTTTAACGAGTTAGAACCAAGCAGTTATTTAATATACCTTGATTGTAATAATCTGTATGGCTATGCTATGATGAAGAAA